AAAAAAAGAATTTTAGAATTTTCATAATCAAATAATCGATTTAACACATAACGATGAATTTTATTCGAAAATAGAACAGCAACAAATTAATGGAATTAGCGAAAATAATATCCATCAATTACATTTGAACGATAATGTAAAACGCTTTACACAAAATCGTCATATTGCAGTTGGTGATGCTAAAGATAATGAAGGTAAGAACAAATTTATGTAAGAATAACATGATTAAAAAACTATAAAAGATTATAATAATTTATTAGTAATTATTTTCAGGATCATAAATCTTCATTTGTAAGAATTTCCCAAAACTTATGAGGAAGGTTAAATCTTCAAATTAAAATTTTACACTAATAGATAACAATTATTATGGTAGCATTTTCTGAGATTTATTACTAAATGTTTTTGAAATTTTACCAATTGTGGTAAGTCCTCTTAGAGTAGTGATAGATAGTATAAGAATGATAAGTGATAAGTGGATCCTTTTTATATCAAAGATAAGTAGGTACTTTTTTCTCTTTTCTTTTAAAGTAGTGACACTTTTCTATCATTAGATAATGTTTACATATGCTCCATATAATTTAGATTTATAACAATCAAATAATAGTTATCAAAAATTAAGGGAAATGAACAATTAATATAAAATTTATAAATGATATTGGATTTTATCATAGCACAAAGCATTTCCATATCCAATTTATACATTGATATAACATTATAATTTTTCAGATGACAAAGGAAGTAATATAAGCATAATACAAAATGAAGAAACAATAACAACGACTGCTACTACTATTACTACAACCACTACTAGTACTACGTTAGGACCACTGATAACTGGATATCCAGATGAAGTAATGACCACTTCAACTCGTTTACGATTCATTTATGTAACAAAACGTCCTAGATCATTTTAAAAAAGAAAAAACATTTGGTTAACCATATATGCTCAAAGTAATTGAAAAGTGATATATATTCAATGTATTCATCATTTCATTTCTCTATGCAAAAGTCAATAATGGATATAAATTTCTGAAAGTTAAATATTCTTCCAAAAAAAAAAAAGGAAAGAGAAACGAAATATTAGTTAACAATGATAATAAATTTCTTTTTTGCATATTTTATTTGAAATAAGAAAAAAATTATTTCTTTTTTCTTAATATTTACAAATTACAAGCTAACAGTATAATTCATTCTTTTTTTTCTTTTGTTATAATTTTAATAGTACATAACCTCTACATATAATGTTAATAGTGTAATTTATGCATAGAAAAAATAAGAATTTTTTTTCCATTATTGCTAAATAACATTTTGATATTATTAATTGACTTTTCAACTAATATATGTAAGCATTAGTTAAAATTTCACTTAGTCTAAAAAAACATCCTTTTAGATTATAAGAGATATTTTCATACTTCCCAACTGATTGTTCATCTTATGAAAATTTATGTAAACAGAATTGAATAATATCCATGTAATGTAATAGCATCAAGAAATTAAATATTATCCGCTTCAAGTCTTATCAGTAATCTTATTAGACACAATCAGATTCTAATAACTTTCCAAATATACATTTCAAGAAATATGTGAAGAATTAGTTGACTTTATTACTATGCAATTGATTTAAATAGGGGACAAATAATTTCCCTGATGTTGTAGAATTTTATAGACAATTTACCACCTTTTGACCCTGACCCAAGCAAATCAAACAAGAAATGTCAACGAAAAAAAAAAAAAAAATTACAGTCAGCACTCCAAACATAATTTGTTTGCTGCAGAATACGACTATCAAATAAACTAATATCTAAAATCCATCCTTTCCTTTAAATGCTTGCATTTACATTGCTCATTTCGGTCCCCTAAATTTTCATCCATGGATATATCCAAAGAAACAATTTATATTTACTGGCTAATTTCTTGCTGAAAAAAAAAAGAAATCGATCATTTTGGCAAAGCGAAATTCGAATTCACTAAATCGATTATACGTCCCCTCCCCGTGCTTCGATTGAAAAACAAACCTACTGCTATGATGAGAGTTGTTTCATCCTTCATTCAAATCATGTTCCTCTCATTTTTCTGATGAATCATTTCCACTGCTTTAGACAAAATCTATTCGGATGTGAAACACGTAACAGCTTCCCTATCTCGCTCATCCACTGCATCGTTTGTTGGATTTGATGATAAGATGAACTGATGATTATAACAGTTTTATCGCAATAATCCTTCTCTAGAGTTTCTCATCTGTACATTATAGAGCATTACTTTCCTCTCCCACTTTCCTTCGTCCTACTAAAATTTCAGAGAAGTTGGAAAAGCAATATTGCCAATTGATGACGACATTCGATCGGAATAATTTAGCATAAAAATTGGATTTAAAATAGTTCGCGTAAAATATTTAAATGACAGGAGGAACCAAGTATTTCTGAAAAGACCTTTACAGCTATTAACAAACATGAAATGCAATTTCAAAATCAGAAAATCTGTTTTACTGAAGTCACTGTGATACATATAAAAGCGCGACATATCACTTGGGTTAATTGCGTAACATGACCGGAACTACCATACATACTAATAGATGTTTGATATGAAACGACCCAGTAATATTTTCATTTCTTAACGTATGTATAAATATATATAAAAGGAGCATCTGCAATAAAACTTTTGAAAAAACCGGAAAGATAATGTATGCAGAAACATGTAATGCTATGAAAAACGTTACGGACAAAGGTCAGAGTCAGCCGGGATCATAAACACTTCCACTGCTAGGGTTTTTATCTAATAACAATGAGTTATAATTGGAAACAAAAAAGATTACAGATATACAAATCATTTGAAAGCTACTGCTATTGGGTTAATGTCGACTTTCCAATTCTACATGTTAATTCTATATTAACTTTCTAATTCTATATTTTATCTTACACTGCCAATAAAATGTCCAGCCAATGCTACGAGCACGATTTCATGCACTCATAGCGGAACAAGAATCATTTAATTTCAATAATTTCTTCATAATAAAGATTAAAAAAA